CCGATCGAAAGGTTGACAAAAACGCCCTCGGGCCCACGTGCCCGGATTTCCAAAATTTTCGAAGAATAAGTTTACCCATAGCCTCACGAACTCAAATGTATAATTTCCTCTTAATTCCATACCCAAAATCGTGGTCAAATTCCGAGAATATGAATTTCTAGGTGTTTCTACCAAAACCCCAAATTTCTACCAATTTACATGCCAAAAATCTATACATAATCGATGTATTTAACTTAAGATGGATGGGATTAGCTTACCTTGTCGTTGATGATGAAAAATTCCACTTGAAGCTCTCCCAAAAATCGCCCAAGACAAGAAAATATGAGAGAAATGGCCAAAACCCAATTTTTAAAACACCCCTTCTGCCTCCACCACTTTCCGCACCTGCGGTCCTTTGACCGCTTCTGCGGTTCCGCAGGTGCGGGCCAACCTTCTGCTTCTGCGGTTATGTTCACCAGGCCTCCCTTTCGCTTCTGCGCCTCGTCCACCACAGGTGTGGTCCCGCTTCTGCGGCCCCACGACCGCATCTGCGGTCTCTTCATTCCTGACCCCATAACCGCATTTGTGCCGCCCTAGCCGCTTCTGCGGCCAAACCCTCGCAGGTGCGGTCATACCAGATACCAGCAACTTCAGCCTTTTCCAAAATTCCATTTTCGATCCGTTAACCACCCGAAATCCAGCCGAGGCCCCCGGGACCCCAACCAATCATGCCAACCAGTCCCAAAATACATTACGGACTTGCTCGAGGCCTCAAATCACATCAAACAACGCTAAAACCACGAATGACCTCCAATCCAAGCTTTATGAACTTTAGAACTTCAAACTTCTACTCTCGATGTTTAAACCTATCAAATCACGTTCGATTGACCCCAAATTTTGCACACAAGTCATATTTGACATTACGGACCTACTCCAACCTCCGGAATCGGATTCCGATCTCTATATCAAAAATTCCACTTCCGGTCAAACTTCTCAAAACCTTATAATTTCTGTCTTTAGCCAAATGACTCCAAAATGACCCACGGACCTCCGAATTCACTTTCGATCGCGCTCCCGACTCCAGAACCACCATACGAAGCTACTCCCAGACTCGAAATCCCAAACGGACATCGATAAAACTGAAATGCTCTTCAACCCAAACTTATGAAATTTCTTCCAAAATGCTAACTTCCACAGTAGGCGCCAAAACGCTCCCGGGTTATCCAAAACCCGATCCGGGCATACGCCCAAGTCCGAAATTGTCATACAAACCTGCTGGAACCTTCAAACCCTGATTCCGAGGTCGTTTACTCAAAGTTCCGATCTTAGCTAATTCTTTCAACTTAAGGCTTCTGAAATGACAATTTTCTTTCCAAATCAACTCCGAACTTCCCGAAATTCAATTCCGACCACGCATACAAGTCATAATACCTGAAATGAAGCTGCTCATGGCCTTAAGCTGCTGAACGGCGTGCTAGAGCTCAAAACGACCGGTCGGGTCGTTACATGTTCCCTCAATTGTTCCTTCTGTTGTTCCTTTGACTCTGAAGAGTTGAGTTGTGTTCCCAACTGGAAACTTGTTGATCTTAAGTTTTGAGGATGTGTAACAAGTTCCTTATCTGGTTCTTAATAGTAAGTTTGTTAGATCATCAAAACATAATAGGGATACACATATAACCTATCAATTTCCCCTTTTTTAATGATTACAAACTTATAATTTAAGTTCCCCCTAAGAACCATAATGGCATTCGCATTTCCTGTATTCCCCCTGAACCTGTTCCCCATCTTGTTCCCCCTCATTTTTTTCCCCCGTTTTGGCATCATAAAAAAAATCAGTGGCAAGCATTAAGCAAAAAGAAATCCAGCTTAGTTAACTCATGCCACATGTGTGCACACAAACATTACTAAAAACAGAACATAAGAGCAATACATACACAACAAAAGGAGGAGGCTTTCATTAATATTTGGATTTTTTAAGCAGGGAGTAGTTCCATTGTTTCCAAACACATCCACAAAATAAAAACAACAAAAACAAAAGTACCAGTCATAAACATCATCATAACTAAAACAGAGGACAGACACTAAGAACTTGACACTTGGGAAAAGGGACACTGTTTAGGGAGCATTGGAAAGGAAAGGCCCAGACGAAGAGGCAAGGGTTCTAAGAAAGATGTCCATTCGAGCATTAGCTGATACCTGCTCGTTGAGCTGTCTATCTGTTTACCTCAAAATACGAGTAACAATTAAACTTGTAATGTGGTTACAAGGATACGTGATCTCATTCAATGCCAATTGATAAATAGCTAGATAGATAAAGGAATTAAACGATTTAAATGGATCAAACCCGTGTAATTGCAAGTTATTGACCCCGATCTGGATTAGGCTCGAGATCAAGTGCCAAGAACAGTAAGAGTAACAAGAATAACACGAACAATATGAACAGTAAGAACAACCAGGAATTAAGAGTAAGTAAAAGAGTAGAGTGCTTGTATTTCTCAGCAGTAGCGTAAGAGATAATTCGCGTATGATGATAATGATGATATCCTCCCTTACAAATGAACAAGATTCCTCTTTATATGGTAGAGGAATCCTAAATAAGGTATGACTCTAATTTCAGAAGTAAAATACATGATTGATATCATTAACCGTTAATGGTTCTATCGGTCCCGAGATTCTTGCCGAGATTGGTGGTCAATCGCGGATATCTCGCGATCCTGTTACTGTGGTGTCGATTTAGCCTGATCTCGATCCCTTAGTCTTTATATTCTCTGAGCCCGAACTTGCTTTGATATCGGCTCACTATCAAGACATACCCTCGAACTTGTAGAATCGGGTATCCTCGATTTTTACCGTATACACTATCCTTCAGGTCCTCAACCTGTTTCCTGAGGTCGGCATTTTCCTTGATCGGATGGGCAACCTATGTGCTTTGAGAGCTGCCAGAACTAGGTGCCCCTTGAAGCTGATTTAGCTGGCCCTCAAAAATGGCATTCCTTGCCTTCAGCACGAGGGAGCAAGACCTTGTTCGCTATTTCAAACAATAATTGGTACACTGGAAGGAGGACCTTCTTCTGTGCCCATTCCCCGTGTTGAACTGCCGCATCCTTCAAGATAGCATTTCTAAAGTTTGAAAAGCAGGTTCCCTAAACAGAAGACAAACCCTCAGCAGGAACTCCCAAAATAGATCTCAGCACAGCAGAGTCCATCACAAAATCAACACCGTTCACCATCTTACAAATATGATCGTCCTCAACTATAAAGAAGCCGGCATAAAAACTTCGCACTTCTTCCTCATACACTTTGGGACTGTCACCTGTGAATACGTGTGTCCACTGTTGAAGTTCACATATTTCCACCAATTGACGCATGCAATCCATATCCAAAATATCAGGGGAAAATGTACGACCCCACAACACTTTCTGATTCTTCAATTTCTCCTTCCCAGACCCTTGGGTTACATCAACCTTGACCTTCTTTGAGGAACCAGGTTCCTCACTAGCACCAGCTCTCCTTTTCATTGATTTCCGTGCACTCTTTCCTTTCTTAGCAGATGACACTTTGTCAACAGAGTTCCCGACCATACGCTCACCAGACTCTTCAACCAGACTGTCACTAGATCTTTCGCCCTCGACATTTCTCACGCCCATCTCACTCTCTTTTTGGTCTTTGGAACAGGAAGGTTCTTTGAGGACTTACGAACCAAGAAACCAGGTTCCTCTTTGACCTCATCATCAACATTCACAACTCGTGCAGGAGGCACTGCCTTTTCATTAACAACATTTCCATCTTTCACCCGTCTCCTCTTCTTCTTTTCCTTTTTACTTTTCCTTAAAACAGACTCAATTCTTTGATGTGGATAGCTGTGAAAGTGACTGAGAGGGGTTATTTAATAGGGGTAAGGAACCGGTTAGGAGTGGGTGACATTTGGGTAGTCGGTTCGATTCATAAAGAGGCGAGACGTTTGGTTCAAGCAGCGGGAAAGAAAAGAAATTGACAATTGATGATGTGGCACAGTTTCAGCTGTTTAAAAGTTGTGCATGAGAGTACAAAGGAACTACTAACCTGTATCAAGGGAACCAGGTTCCCTCACAGCTTTTTCCAAATGTATGCCTCATCCTTTGACCAACATGCAATGCATTAGCTACTTCTTTGCTCTGTAACCGTCATGCATATCTACCTGTAACGGTATAGAGATGAGTTAGATTGTGCCAGAAAACACTTTTTATCTATTTTACCTGTACATCTCTTTCGTAGCCAATCATCGAGCGACAAGGTTCTCAGTTGGATTTTATCAACCCCAGTGCCAAGCGATTTCTTTCAAAATGTTATTTATTTATTATTTTAAGAGTGAGTTGGATATTAATGTTTGAATTATATTGAAATTTTTTATACATAGTGATACTTTTTTTTTCTTTTTGAAAACATATATTCGAACACAATCTTCCCACAAACAATTTCTAAAGAAAAATAGTTATCCAGATGCAAAGTTTTCACCCAAAATTATACAAAGCCACCAACTTTCACATGTCTTCTTTTTTCTTTCACATGTTCAAACACTATTAAAAAGATACTAGTCACGTTATTCTATTTGTTTGGCATTATTTCTTTATTAATCCATTAAAAAATAATAATACATTTTTATATTTTTTTATTTAAACTTTTTATAATTAGACAAATTGTATAATATGTTTTTAAGACTATAAATTACAAAATTCTTACGGTTATACACATACTATGTCAAGTTTAAAATCATAAATTTTAAAATATTCTTTGTTACATTGTCAAACAAATTAAAATAGAGGAAGTGCTAGACGATTCAAGAGTGAGCGGGCATTTATCGACAGCTAATCGACCCGACACTTAGGCAAATGCAGGTATACGGTAGAACAAAATACCTGCGTACAGTGGATTGGTTTAGTTGAGAGGATAAGGTTCGGCACGTCAGAGTGTCGTCGTTGTGGAACAACATCAACTTGTTCGGACGAATATAACCCTACCCACTCTGCAAATTGACAGTAGACACGTGCTCCCCTTCTCTTCCTTTATCCAAATTCCCTCACAAAAAAAAGCCGAAAGATCCCAAAAAGTAAAAGAGAAAGTTCCCATATTTGAACGAGAAGTAGCTGCAGCAGTCTGTGTACTGAAAATAGCTCTGATTACCTCCGGCGAGATCCTAGCTTTTCCGGTGAGTTTTACTTCCGTTCTGACTTATCTAAGTCCACCGCCATGATTCTTTCACTTATAATACGGTCACAGAAATGTTAGGTCCCTTTGCTATTACACACTTCCGATCTAAAATATGGCTTCGCCAGCGCAAAAAAACTCTTCCATTCTCCAACTAGCTTCAGTTTTACCCTAAATTCTACTGTACACTTCTGACGTGAATGAAAGTGAGGTCTCGGATCAAAACGGATTGAGAAAATTGAGACCGAATTTGATAAAGTGGCGAAAATGAGTTTAGGTGCAGCGGAGGAGGAATCGTCGAAGGAAATCCAGTTACCAGCGGATATAGACTGGAAAATGCTGGACAAATCCAAGTTTTTCTTCCTCGGCGCCGCCTTGTTTTCAGGTGTTTCAGCTGCTCTTTACCCTGTTGTGGTGTTAAAGACTCGGCAACAGGTAGCGCAAGCTCAGCTTTCCTGCTTTAAAACTGCTTTCTCTGTAGTTAAGTACGAGGGGATTCGCGGATTGTATCGCGGGTTTGGGACTTCGTTGATGGGTACAATACCTGCCCGAGCACTTTATATGGCTGCACTCGAGGTTACTAAGAGTAACGTCGGTACAGCCACAGTTAGGCTTGGCGTTCCTGAGCCTACTGCGACCGCCCTAGCCAGCGCTGCAGCTGGGCTGAGCGCGGCTGTTGCGGCCCAACTTGTTTGGACTCCGGTAGATGTAGTAAGCCAGCGGCTCATGGTGCAAAGCGGTTCGTGTAAATATCTCAATGGGATCGATGCGTTTCGTAGAATCCTCAAAACAGATGGGCCAAAGGGACTCTACAGAGGTTTCGGGTTTTCGATTTTGACCTATGCGCCATCCAATGCGCTTTGGTGGGCATCCTATTCCATTACTCAGCGGCTCGTCTGGAGTGGTTATGGATGCTACCTCAGCAAGAATGGTGAAGAGAGAAGCGAGGATGCAATCAAGACGTTGAGGCCCAACTCGAAGACTGTTATGGCTGTTCAGGGAGTTAGTGCAGCCATGGCAGGCGGCATTTCAGCTCTGATTACAACACCATTAGACACAATCAAGACGAGATTGCAGGTCCTAGATGGCGATGAAAATGGGCGGAGAGGTCCAACTGTAGCGCAGACAGTCAGGAATTTAGTAAGGGAAGGCGGGTGGATGGCTTGTTACAGAGGATTAGGTCCTCGATGGGCTTCAATGTCTATGTCCGCAACCACAATGATAACTACTTACGAATTCCTAAAACGCCTCTCGACCAAGAGTCAAGAAAGCTGGGCTCCGTGAACCCTGTGAAAATTGAATTAGGCTAAAGTTATCAGTCTTCTTCCCCTGTTTCACCTTTTCTAGTTTTAGGTTTACGTTTTGATCCATTCTTTTTGAATGATCTTTTCTTTAAGAATGAGCATGCTGAGTTAAACATATAGAAGCCTAGAGCAAGAACTGAAATAATGATGTTTTTATGCAAGTTAGTTCATGTACATAGTATGAATCTGTATATAGTCCTATCCCCTTTGCTTATTTTGTGTGTTACTGAGCAACTGATTCCATCTTTCAGCCTATCGGTTTGGCAGGAAAGCTACCTTGATCCATTTTCGGCTTTGATTCATTACGATCAAAGGCTCCAACAAGCTCTAAAGTCTCGTGCCGCCTAAAACTCTGTCATGAGAATACCACTACTTTATGTTTGATCCGGTGTACCCATAGAATGTCGTGCCTTCTCGGCTTTCGGATCTCGCAAACTAACATATGTGCGACTTAAACTCGGTAGATAATGGGTTTGCTTCTCTACCCTTCCTCGGTTAAATAGTAGGCGTATATGACAAGATTGAAAATCGAAACGTGCACCTAACCCAGACATGAAGATTGGACTCTTATTACTAGCCTAAAGCCCTTAGGCGACTTCTCTTCTTCCTATAAGATGATTAAAAACCTTTATTTTGGGGGGTGTTTCAAGAATGCAACCAAATATTAGGAATACATCCTTTTCAGGTCTTAAATTGAGAATCACTGAACAATTGGAAGATGGGATTCCATAATGGACTTAATTGACTTGTAGCTAATATCAGCCAATGGTAGATTAAGATTCTTCTTTCTGTCTGATGATGATGTTGATTTGAACATCTTGCGTGCAAAGTTTTAAGTGGGCGTTTGGACATAAGAATTGTAAAATTCTCCAAAAAATGTGATTTTTTTTTCAAGTGAAAATGGTATCTGAAAATGAGAGTTGTGCTTGGACATGAATATAATTTTGGGTTGTTTTTAAAGTTTTGTGAGTGATCTGAGTGAAAAATTTGAAAAACAGCTTTTTGGAGTTTTTCAAATTTTCGAAAAATTTCAAAATTCATTTTCAAGTGAAAATTGAAAATTTTATGGTCAAACGCTGATTTCGAAAAAAGTGAAAATTTCTTATGGCCAAACGGGGTTAAAGTCTTTCTAATCTCGAGTTAACGAGACAGGAGAAGGTGGTGGGTCCAACGTGATTATCCAACATTTCGGGGATTAGATTTAGACCATTATCTTAATGTTTAAAATTCATATGGCTAATGATAGTGGTTAACAACAACACGAGTAGCTGACCATTATACATAAATTACTATAAATAAAACTTTTGACTGATATGCAACAATTATATGAGCAACAGCGTCTTCTTCTGTTTTTCTTTTCTCCCCTATCTGTTTGTTAGAGGAACGTGATTGCTTAGCATTTCCTTAAAAAATGGCTCAGCCTACCCAAATTGTTTAGAATATTTTATAAAGCAGAGGTTTTTAAGGAATTTCGTCCTAATGTAATTTAATTAAGGAAATACAGCTAATGATATAGCGAGTTAAGTGAAAAAACAAGGAGAAGCAATTATGAATTGCTTCCAAAGCATCAAACTTTAATGAACTTCTAAGAAGTTGACTCATAGTTGAAAACTTGCAGAAAATGTTGATAAGTTGGGTAGTTCATATCATACCAATGGATTGTTTTTTATTTTTATATATTCAACAATAAACTAAAATATTAAGAGTAAAAGGACTGCAGGATTACCAGATTGGACTACAACTGATATTTTTTCTTTTTATTATAAGGGCTTCTTAACCGGCTTGCGTATCTCGACTAATCCACAATCTATTTTGAAATTGAGGTCAATTGTCATAAGAAAGTCGCCTCCATCTCTAAAGAGGCTTATGCACTCCACAACTAGGTTTCGAAGGCTCAATTTAGCTGAAAAACTCTCCGTAAGGTGGCCCCAACCTATTCAAAGGGTCGTTAGACTGCCACTTACTAAGGGGTCGTTGTTAAGCGGACTAAATTATGCCGGGATTATAATCCCCGAAGGACCAATTTATTCTACCTGGGAGGGGGGATAATATAATTCCAAGTTTGATGGGATAAGATGGAATATCCTGTATTAGGACTAGGATTAAATTTATACCATATTTGATTGACGGTATAAATGTATCCCATAAAATTTAGTCCCACACCTTACCCCGCAACCAAGCAGAAGTGTAAGATAAAGAATGACAAAAAGGGATTGGGAGCTAATGGATCACAATAGCGAGTCTGTCATCCTGCTACAACTGGAAGAAATTAAAAACATTGTAAAATATGGACCACAGTTTAACTGAACTACCATTAATTTAAGCTAAACCAACATATAAGGACCCTAAGTTAGAGCCAACTATACATAGAGATGAAGCCTATCCAATTAGAGACCCACAACTTAGAGCCAAATATAATGAATAGCCTAACCAACATAAACAGTCAGATGCATCTAACAACAGGAGAACTCTACATTCACCACATTCTAAACACTAGGTCCGCGCTCTCTTGTTGCTGCAAGGCGGACATTTGTATTGCTTGATGAACTCTGCCCTGGCGGGGGTGATCTTCACACACTTGCCATGGAACCACATTTCACAAATGTCGCAACATATCCAAAATTCATCTTCTGCATATCTCTCCCCACATGCGCCGCATAGTGTCTCACCTTCCTCCTCTTCATCGTCCTTCTCATCCAATCCCTCTTCTTCCTCTTCATATTTTTGCAGCAACTTTGGGAGCTTTCCTTGAGACTCTGCTGCCTTCTGTTTTTACAACCGGAAAAGAAAACGACGATAGCTTAAAAAGAAGTTGACATCATGTGGCAATAGGCTATAACACAATCAAAGGATCACACACTAGAAAAGCCCAGAAACCAGAAAATCATAACTTAAAGTTCGATATCCAGATGCTTAATCAAGGTCTGCCACAAGAACCATAAGCTCGATATTCAGATGCTTGCGAACAGACAGAAGCTTAAACTCTAAAGTAAAACAAGCAATCCAACACATACAAAAGTTATCACATAAGATAAAAGCTGACATGCAAATAAAGCATACTTGGAGAACATAGTCCTTTACCTTTTTGGAGTTTGGCTTGGATTTGTTGCTTCTATGGTTAGAGACTGTAGGTTTTTCTTTTTGTTGCTTCTTTGTAGAACCAGTCACTACTTCATATACAGTAGGCAGATCATTTATCATGTTGAAGAGCCTCTTCCTGGAAAATAGAAGGCAACTAATGAGCATGGAAAGCAACATAGTAAACTTCACGAGACTTGAAAGCACAATGAGTGCTGTCGTCGTTGAGTCACAGTTGGCACAATTTGATCTGGTATAATTCTCTAGCAAAAGACACAAATTTCTGGTAGGTTAAATAGAAATATCAATGTACTAGAACACAGGCTTCCTATTAACATCACATTCAGTATGAAGGATTCCACATACAACAAACACCAAAATGCAGAAATGAATTCAAGTTGAACCAAGCAATTCCATAATGCTTCAATTTGAGTTGCTCTTCAAAGAACATGACTGACATTGCATTCTGTTTGCTGTCTGTTGGTTGACTCGGCTTAGTGCAAGTATCACTTGACAAGCATGTGATATGTAGATCAAACAAAGTAAAGCACCCAGAGGTCAACTAATCAATACTCAATGCTCATTTGTGAGCAAACTACAGAACAAAAAAAACCAAGCTAGATCAACCTTATTAACCATTTAAAAACTACACCTACTAATCCAAGAAGTGTGGCCAATAATGGAGCATTTTTCACACCTCTTTTATGCCTAATTTTTTGCACTTCGCATCCTGTCCTTCCTTTCTTTGCAGCTTTCCTTCTTAACCTCTTCATCTTCTTACAAAATACTGAAACTATAGGTCTGGATTCAAATGTTAACATTTCATAGGGAGTAAAAAAGATATATTGCCTCATAAAACTAATTAACGACATCAAGATCTTGAACATCCTCCATTATTTTGGCCTAAGTTTTTAGAGGTGCAGTTATTGATTTGGGCAGGAAATTCATTTCACAAGGCAGTATTCCCAATTTAACTCAGTAAAATGTTCGGATTCAGACCAAAAGATACTTTCAATGATCTCTCCAGAAAGAAGGAGCAAATATAAATAAATAAAGGAGAGACCAAAGAGAAAAATGCTGCATGCATCAGAGGTGTAAAATGCGAAGAACTGATATTAACCAAGCTTTCTACTTTTAGCTTCTCTTGCTAGTAATAGTGCCAGGCATCGCTAAGCATCTAAACTTTATAGCCAACCTAAAAACTCATTAATCAGATGCATCACTTCTGCTTTTAACAGAAAGCATGATTTTGTTTAAGAAAAATCACAGGAAAGGAAAAACATAAATGCACTGAGAAACAAAATTAACACAAAATACGGATCCAAAGAAAATGTTAAATGAGGTACTGGAGCAGGCTAGAATCGCCAAATATAAAAGATTGCTTTTACAAGCATGGAATAGCTGGACAAAAGAAATTGACTGAGAAGAAGTACCTGTCAGACTTATCAAATCTAAATCTAGCAGCATAAAAGAAGGCAACAGAAAGTAACCAAGCGTCACTGTGGACGGCAACTAAGGACAGCCATTCCTTTTCTTGCATCCCATCTCTAGCAAAGTTAATACCAAGAACAGGCTCTGGAAGCTCTGGTGGTACTTCTTCAGCAGGCAGATTGACCTCCCATTGCTCGTTTGGGAGTCCAAACAAGCACAAGTTCTCCTTTTCTGCATAGCAAACAGTTCACATGTTTATCATGAACAAGGAGCAATAAGCATCCGGTATAAGCCTAACTAAACACATTGACTGTAACAAAACTTGGAGGAGGGCAGAGGAGGTGCGGTGACGAGGGAGCTTATAACCATAAACAAAATCTCAAATTGAGAAGTGCTCACTGATATAACCCTGATCAGCCGCCCTAAGTAACACTTCCAAATGAAGAGCAAGGACTCAGGATTAGAAGTGTTCCGTTTAAAGCTAAACACACTGCAACTTTGATTCTACTTCTGTTTCAAGGAGGGTTAAAGATTTCCTAATAATGCGTCGAGATGAGAACATGCATACGTGGATCTACATTATCATGAGGGAAATTTATGGAAATTTTATGTACCATTAAATAACAATATACGAGAAGTTCTGAATATTGCCTCCCCAAAAATTAACATTTGGGGGCATAATCAAAGTTGAAGTGCAAATTTTGCATCTGATTTAAGTGAGCAACTATGTAATTATGCATAGGCAATTAATGAAAAAGAGAAAATACAGAAACAAGCAATGTTGACTACATGATTTTCCTCTCCTAAGCAGTGGTGGAGCCACATTCAACCAAGGGGTGTCAATCAGCACCCCTTAGCCGAAAAATTACATTGTATTGCTAGATAAATTTTTCTGTTTTATGTATATTTACTATATGTTGACTCCCCTAAACTTTTCGGTGTATCTATCTTTTTTATATTTTGACACCCCTTGGTCAAAATTCTGGCTCCACCACTGCTCCTAAGAGAAAGGTTGTACCAAACATGAAGAAAATCTTGTGAAACACTAAAGAAACAGTGTTTTTTTTGGGTACGGTTACATAAAACAACAACCCCGTAAAAATTACACAAGTGTGGTCTGGGGATGGTAGCGTACCCAGACCTTACCCCTACCCCGGAGGAGTAGAGAGGGTGTTTCCGTAGGGTTACATAAAACATGAATCTCAAAATTTATTAAGTTATAGTTTAAACAGAGAATATTCTGTTTTAATTTCTAATTTTACAGCTTGTTTGGATGGTTGTTCCTTGTTGTATTGTATTGTATTGTTAATGCAAAACAATGTTTGTTTTGATTGTTTCATTAAAATTGGTTGTATTGTATTGTTAAATCCATTGTTCCGAAACAATGAAAAGTCCCCTTTCTTGAAACAACCGATTTGGTGTGGTGGGATTGTTTCCTATTTTTCTTTCCAATTATGCCCTAACTTATTACTCCATAATTCTATTTTACCCTTTATCTTTTTTCTATTTTAACTCAAAATCTCCAACTTATAACCTACTTTGTTTTTTTCCAGACCAATGTTAAAGATGTTTTGTTGCCTCCTGTTTTATTTTTTCTCCTAATTTGCTTGTAACTCAATTCTAATTAGTTGTACTCCTTTGTTTTGCCTTTTTTTGTCTCGCTCCTTTGTTCTGCTTCCTTATTTTGTTTTGTCTTCTTCTGTTTTGTTTTTTAAAATTATTTTTATACATAATTTTGATAAATTTAATATTTAAACAATTGAGGGTATTTTAGTAAACTTATCAGTTACAGTACAGTACGATATAGTCAAACCAAACAACAAAATATTATTTAACAATAACAAACAATACAATCTATCCAAACATTGTATTCATAAAACGATACGGTACAATACGATACAATACAATACAATACATTATAAAACGATAGGGAACAATGATCCAAACAGAGTGTTAAGTGATTCTGATACATTATCAAATACAAGGATAAACACTCATTCTTATTGTATACATAATCACCAATGTGGAATGATGCTGTTAATATAAAACTGAAAAAAGAAAAGAAAAAAAAAAGGACTTACCAGGATCACACTGCTTAAAAAATTCTTCCACTTCTGAATAACAAAACAAATAAATCAATTACATAAATCAGCAAAAATAAACGTACTTACAAAAATGAAATTTAATATAAAACGAAAGAAGAAGAGAGGAAATTAAACCAGTGGTGAGAGCCTTAATAAGAGCAGCACGACGGCCCTTGAAATCTTGAAACACATCTTTCACACTGAGGGTATTGTTCTTTTCTCCTCCTAATTTTCCGCCTTCTTCCATTATTAATGCAGTTTTTTTTTTGTTTTTTTTATTTTACAGCGGCGGCAAAAACGAGAAGAAAGAAGTTAAAGTTAAGCAGTTTTGACTTTGTGTACGAGGTTGTCAAGTTTAAGTAGGGCCCATAGATGGATTATCGCAATAAATTTTGGGATTAAATTAATCTTGTATTTAATTAATTGGAGGTATTAGCTAACATTAATATTATTTCTATATCAAAATCTTAGATAGAACTAGTATTAGTACCCACCACGATCACTGCCCGCTGCTTCTGGCGTTGTCCCTGGAGTCTTTCTTCTAGTTCCCGAATTCTTTGACGGTTTCGGTACTTCTATCAACCTTGCACCTCTATTGAGTAATGCCTGAATCGCAGCATCAAGGTCTGAGCCAAATTGAGCAAGGGCGGCCACTTCGCGATATTGTGCCAATTCCATTTTTGAATTACCGCAGACTTGCGCGGATATAAACCATGTCAAATTATGATTTAATTTATTTGAATTATGTGCAAATAACTTTAAAGTTAAACCTTATGTGCAAATAACTTTAAAATTAAACCTTCTATATAAAAATTATAAATAATTATTAAATAATTAAATAATTATTATAATATAAAAATTAATATTATTTCTATATCGAAATCTTTGATAGAATTAAAATATTGGGATATCTTGGTTTTGGACTTGGTGCTGACTGTTGAGTCTACATAGACCCGACGGATCAAGTTTATGAGCAGTAATGCATAGCTTATGATGAAGGGAATCTAATATGATGCAGGAAATCTAATATCTAATATAAGAACTAATAATACAGGAATTAGTAAAAAGGATTCTTCAATTTTTAGTTACATATATTACATTTTAGTACGCAATATATACTTTAAGATCTGTTTACTTTTATACAAAATAAGAATTTTTTTTTATCATTATGAAGGTTAATTTTGTTGTTTAACATTTCTCAATCCATGTATTACAAATATCGTCGAATTTTGTTTTTTGCGTCCTATCCCGCATAAAATAGTACGCAAATGTTCAAAAACATATGCAAAAAAAAAAAAAAAACAATTAATTAATGATTATGCTTATTTGGAGATTAAAAATCTACTCAAATTCCAATTATAGATTGCACAAACTAATGCTGATTTTTATGTGACGATTATATTTTCTGTAACCCCAACCAAACGACGCGTAACAATATATACGTAATATTCTTAACCACCCGGTCAAGGGTAGTAACTATTCATAATAACTCTAATTTGATTATCTAAAAATAAAATAAATGATATTAGACCCTCAATAAAAATAATTGGCAAAAAGGCCTCCTGGCCACTTAAACTTGCACCCAATTGTCATCCCGGTAAACAAACTTACAACTTTCCCATTTAGGTACTCAAACTCGAGAGAATAAGTATTATTAAATATCTCTGATCGTTGACCATGCTTGTGTGGCAACGCCGTGTTTGATGTGGCAATAGTGTGTGCCAATCACGCGAATTAGACGCGTGAATTCAGTTTATTGGAATAAAAATACTAAAAAATTCTTTCCCAGCCAGGCCTGAGGCTGAATAATCCGATGTTGTTATCACAAGTACTGTTTCAGTTTGCAGTAGAGTTGCTTCAGTTCTATTTGATCTAGGGTCTACATACTCCTATGTGTCATCTTACTTTGCTTCATATTTGGTTGTGCCTCGTGATTCTTTGAGTGCTCCCGTGTATGTGTCCACACCGGTGGGGGATTCTATTGTTGTAGATTGTGTCTATCGCTCGTGTGAGGTTATTATTAGGGGTCTTGAGACTAGCGTAGATCTCTTACTTCTCGATATGGTCGATTTTGATGTCATTTTGGGGATGGATTGGCTGTCACCTTATCATGCTATATTGGACTATCACGCCAAGACCGTGACCTTAGCCTTGCCGGGGTTGCCTCGATTAGAGTGGATAGGGACTCTTGGTCATTCTACCAGCAGGTTTATCTCTTATATGAAGGCTCGGCGTATGGTCGAGAAGGGGTATTTGGCTAATTTGGCTTATACTCGTGATTCTAGTGCAGAGGTTCCTTCCATGGATTCTGTACCAGTTGTTCGGGAGTTTCCAGAGGTATTTCCTGCACACCTGCCGGGGATACCACCCGACAGGGACATTGACTTCTGTATTGATTTGGTTCTAGGCACTCAGCCCATTTCTATTCTGCCATATCGTATGGCCCCGCCAGAGTTGAAAGAGTTGAAGGAACAGTTGCAAGATTTGCTTGATAAGGGCTTTATTAGACCCAGTGTCTCGCCTTGGGGTGCGCCCGTGTTGTTTGTAAAGAAGAAGGATGGATCAATGAGTATGTGCATAGATTATCGGTAGTTGAACAAAGTCACCATCAAGAACAAGTATCCATTGCCGAGGATTGATCACTTATTTGATCATCTTCAGGGTGCCAAGGTATTTTCAAAGATAGATTTGAGTCTGGCTACCATCAATTGAGGATTAGGGCATCCGATGTCCCTAAGACAACTTTTCGGACTCGATGGTGATGCCATTTGGCTTGATAAATGCCCCAGCAGCATTTATGGATTTGATGAACCGGGTGTTCAAGCCTTACCTGGATTCCTTTGTGATTGTGTTTATTGATGATATCTTGATCTACTCCCGCAGTCGAGAGGAGCATGAGCAGCATCTTCGGACCGTTCTTCAGACTCTGAGAGACAGCCAGTTATATGCTAAGTTTTCAAAATGTGAGTTTTGGTTGAGTTCAGTTTCTTTCTTGGGTCATGTTGTATCAGCAGAGGGTGTTCAGGTGGATCCTAAGAAGATTGAGGCCGTTCAGAATTGGCCTAGACCCACTTCAGCCACGGAGATCCATAGTTTTTTGGGTTTGGTGGATTATTACCGCCGGTTTATGGAGGGGTTTTCGTCTATAGCATCCCCATTGACCCGGTTGACTCAGAAGGGTGCCTCGTTTAGATGGTCAGACGAGTGTGAAGCGAGCTTTCAGAAGCTCAAGACAGCTTTGACTACGGCGCCAGTGTTGGTGTTGCCCACAGGTTCAGGGCCCTATACAGTATATTGTGACGTATCTCGTATTGGACTTGGTGCGGTATTGATGCAGGGTGGCAAGGTTATTGCATATGCTTTACTGTAGCTAAAGGTTCATGAGAAGAATTATCCTGTTCATGACTTGGAGCTGGCAGCCATTGTTCACGCGCTGAAGATTTGGAGGCACTATACATATGGCGGTGTCGTCTGAGGTATTCACGAATCATAAGAGTTTGCAAGATTTGTTCAAGAAAAAGGAGCTCAATTTGAGGCAGAGGAGGTGGTTGAAGCTATTGAAAGACTATGATATCATTATCTTGTATCATCCCGGAAAGGGTAATGTGGTGGCCGATGCCTTGAGTAGAAAGTCAGCTAGTATGGGCAGCCTTGCGTACATTCCAGTCGGTGAGAGACCGCTTACATTAGAAGTTCAGGCCTTAGCCAATCAGTTCGTGGGGTTGGATGTTTTTGAGCCCAGTCGTGTTTTAGCTTGCACAGTCGCTCGGTCTTCCTTGTTTGAACGTATCAGGGAGCGGCAGTATGATGGCCCTCATTTGCTCGTCCTTAGGGACACAGTGCGGCACGGTGATGCCAAGCAGGTTACGGTTGGAGATGATGGAGTTTTGAGGATGCAGGGTCGTTTTTGTATGCCTAATATAGATGGGCTTCGTGAGTTGATTCTAGAGGAGGCTCACAGTTCTCGGTATTCTATTCATCCGGGCGCCGCCAAGATGTATCAGGACTTGCGGTAGCATTATTGGTGGAGGAGGATGAAGAAGGATATTGTTGCATATGTAGCTCGGTGTCTAAATTGACAGCAAGTAAAGTATGAGCATTAGAGACCTAGTGGGTTGCTTCAGAAGATAGAGATTCCTGAGTGGAAGTGGGAGCGTATCACTATGGATTTCGTTGTTGGACTCCCACGGACTTAGAGGAAGTTCGATACAGTTTGGGTTATTGTGGATAGACTGACCAAGTCAGTGCATTTCATTCATGTGGTAGTTTCCTATTCTTCGGAGCGGTTGGCCGAGATTTATATCCGTGTGATTATTCGTCTTCACGGTGTGCCCATGTCTATCATTTCTGATCGAGGTACGCAGTTTACCTCGCACTTATGGAGGGAAGTATATCATGAGTTGGGTACGCGGGTCGAGTAGCATTTCATCCACAAACAGACGGACAGTCCGAGCGTACTATTCAGATGTTGGAAGATATGCTCCGCGCCTGTGTTATTGACTTTGGAGGTTCTTGGGATCAGTTCTTGCTGTTAGCGGAGTTTGCCTACAACAACAATTATCAGTCGAGCATCCAGATGGCTTCCAATGAGGCATTATATGGTAGCCGGTGTCGATCGCCGGTTGGATGGTTTGAGCCGGTGGAGGCTCGATTATTGGGTACAGATTTGGTATAGGATGCCTTGGATAAGGTTAAGATCATTCAAGATTGACTTCGCTCAGCTCAGTCCAGGCAAAAGAGTTATGCCCACTGTAAGATTCGTGATATGGCATTTATGGTCAGAGAGAGAGTGTTGCTTCGGGTATCGCCCATGAAGGGTGTATTGAGGTTTGGAAAGAAGGGAAAGTTAAGCCTTAGGTATATCGGGCCTTTTGAGATCCTTGTGCGAGTGGGAGAGGTGGCCTACAGAGTTGTGTTGCCCCTAGGCTTATCAGCGGTACATCCAGTGTCCCATGTGTCCATGCTTCGGAAGTACCACGGAGACCATCCCACGTGTTAGATTTTAGCACTGTCCAGTTGGACAAGGAGTTGACCTACGAGGAGGAACCGGTAGCTATTCTAGACCGACAAGTTCGTTACTTGAGATCGAAGAGTTATCCTTCGGTTCGAGTGCAGTGAAAAGGGCAGCCTGTTGAGGCAGCTACCTGGGAGTCCGAGTTCGATATGCGGAGCAGATATCCCCACCTTTTCACCAGCTCAGGTACTTTTCTATGTCTGTTCGAGGACGAACGCTTATTTTAGAGGTGGAGAATGTGATGAGCCAAAAGGTCATCTTATGTTTTAGAACTCGATTCCGTGTTTCGAGGCCTTCAAAACCTCATTTTATTCCTCCTCGATTTGTGTGTGCAGTCCGGGCGCATTTCCGGAAAGCTTT